AAGGGAGGGAGGGCTCAGGCTGCAGAGCCCCACTCACCGATAACGAACACGAGAAGCGAAAGCCCCGGGGATTCCTGGCGGCTCTTGGTGTGTGTATCCCCCCCCTCCCTCCCTCAGCGTGATGAGAACAAAGGGAGCGGGTATTTTTTTTCCTTCTTTTCGCTTTGCTTTGCTCTCCCCCTTCCTCCTCCTCCCGATTGATCACAGAATTGGTGCAGCTCCAAAAGGTGCTACCGAAGCCAGCAGACAACGTTTCTACCAGGCTCCCTTCACATTAGCGATTGCAAACCGGGACCCTGCTTCCCCTTTGATGCATTCTTCAACCCGCGTCCAAGGCCGGTAACATTTAGGTAGATGCACAGTTTATTAGAGAAGAGGAATTGAAGCAGCTTTACACCATGACTTCAGTCACAGTTCAGGAATACAGTCAATGCCAAGATCTTATTTTCTATATTCAAACCACAAACTCATCTATTCGATTCAAGGTCTACAGGGGAATATACTAAATACCTATACAAATACTGTAGGATCAAAACTATATACGTATGTATACCACTCCGCTCTTGCGGAGTTTCTAGATTTCTAACAAAAGTATAAAAAATACTAAATTAAGTGAAAAAGCATTTTGCCTTCCAGCTGGCATCACTGCAGTGACATTTTTACCGAATCCTTGTGCTGGTGCTCATAGCTCCATCGAACAGTTTACCTAGATTCACTGCGATTAGGGGGTTTTCACTTAATTTAAAACATTACCTCTGTGTATGAAACATGCCCAAAGATATTAAAAACAGTGCCAAAACAGAAAACCATAATTACACTAAATGGTTACTGTAAGTGATGATTTCCCCATGACACAGTATGTTCTGTAATTTACCTCTGAGAACTGAGCACAGAATTGCTGACCTGTTTTGCCACCGTGCCGGTGAAGTAAAGGACCACTTCACTCTCACAAGAAATTCCTAGAAGCAAAACGACAGGTACGTTTTCTGGAGCAGCCCTTTGAAAATAATGGTCCTTTGATTTACAGTTGTTTAACAGAATAATGTATCAAACCTGCAAAACCTAGTATAATACCCTTTGGGACTAGCAAACTCTGCAAAAATACAGACACACCTGGTCTGTTGGGTCAACCCACCACACCTGGGCACCCAAACAAATAACAGCTGATCTATTATCAATGCACGTCAGGGATTATAACCAGAGGAAGGGCTTACACACGGGAAAATGATTCTGTTTTTCCATCTCTGTCAGCTCCTCTAATGCAAGATACTCTCCCTCCAAACCTCACCTCAGGAATAATCATTTATTTCAAGAGGAAACATCCCTAGACAAGTTCATATAGATCTCCCGGAGGCAACGCCATCAAAATTAATAACTTGCAACACCAGGAACAGCGGCACCTGCCTATCGCAGCAAACACCTTTGGTGTCTGCTCCGTATGTCCCTTTCACAGGCACCCACAGACACTCAGCTGTCCTTTCATCTGCATACAAATATAACCAGCAACACAACGTAACACGGAGGACTTGCCAGCACCTGTGCCTGCTCCCTCACCTCCGTACTTTTGTCATCCAGCCTGCTGTTCCTGCATGGGTTTGAATACAGACACCCTTCTCCCCACCTGCAACCCCCCCTTCCAAGGACCTCCTCCCCCAAGGGTTACGTTTTGCCTTTGCTTGCAACCGCCCCGTGACCCGTCATTGCATTAGACGAGCCCGAGAACAAACCCCAGCCCCCTAAAGGGACGTATACGTGCTAACCATCGTGGATCTCTCCCCAATCTTTCAAGCGCCCCTCACAAAACCCCCACATCCATTCTCAACCCTCTTCCTACACTTCCCTTCTCAATCCTAGAGACACTTTCAAAAATTCCCCCCCACAGTAAGCGTCCTCAGGACCGTGGCAGATGGCTTTCTGGGGACACAGCCTACGGGGGGTGACGGTGGGCATCGCACAGAGCAGAAGAAAGCGTACAGAGGGCTGGCAAATTTGCTGCCTCTCAAACGGTTGTATCCATTCTGCCGTTCCTTCATCAACAACAGGGAGCAGCGCTTCTCTGACGCCTGGGAGAGATTGCGCTGAATTTAAATTCTCCCTTGATTAAAACCTGAGTTTCCAGCCCTTCTAAATGTTGTGTTGCAGTGTTCACATCCTGAATTTGCAGGCAGATGGCATTATGCTAAAGTGCGGAGAAAAAGACAGGCTTGCCCACATTCATCTTGCTGAAAGCCTCACTGAAAACCCTAAGAAGAAAATGTACATTATTAATTGATATAGCAGGAAAATACAGCTGCTCTGTATAGCATTTGCATAGAATATTACTACTTTCTTTGCAGCTTTAACAATGCTGAGAATCTGGTGTGGTATCTGTATATGTGGGTACAAAGGAAGAGGGGAGAAAGAGGTGAAGAGAAAGTAGAAGGATGATGTTAAAGGGGAAGAAACATCTACTCCAAGCAGGGAATTTTCAAGGGCAATTCTTGTTTAGCATCTTTAATTTTTTGAGTGTGGTGAAAAGACTCTGAACACCTTCCTAAGCAGCCCTACCACCAGAAGGCTAAGGCACTGGAGAGAAAAAGATGACATGCAGAATAGTGGGACATATCAAGCACTGAGATGTGCTACTAACGTTTTAATCAGGCACTCCTTGACAAAGAATTTATTTGTCCCTATACTTGTGATTTAATGAAAAGTATTTTCTACCCCGAGCACATGCACGCACGCACACAGTCCCGTATGCTCCAGCACCTCCACACCAAAACGTAGCATTCTCGCCAGCACTCCCTGCCACGCAGTTCTTCTAATCCAGTTATAACACCTGTGGTCATGCCCTCTGACTGGGATATTGCTTTCCCCACGCCCCATCTGGTCCACACAGCACCATTAATGGCTTATCCCACAGCCTCACATGCAGGTTTTCTTCCGAGGCTGGACAAAGGGCTAGTAAACGGGACTCCCCTGGTCAGGCAACATCAAGGGGCTGCCTAAACGTGCTTCTTTTAAGATACCCTACTTTGCCAGCTAGCGCCTATGAAAGGCTCATACAAGCTTTGCAAAAGAAGAAATACTGTTCAAGCTAGAGATATTCTATCTTTCACCTAAAGGCAGGCTGCATCCTCAATACTACCTTGCATGGGGAGAAAAGAAGGATCATATCCTTATGCCCTGTACAGCCAGGGACATGAATAACACACGCCTGTGCTCAGACCTGTGTAATCATGTGCACCACATATGAGGCTTCTGTAACTGCCTCCCATCAGCTGCTGCATTTTCAGCTTTGCACTGGCCTCCCCCTGCTCTCAGGTACTGGGATAGATGCAACTGGCTGATCCAAGCTGTCACGGGCTGATGAGCAGCACCCATTATGTGCAATTACATAGCAGGAGCACAGCGGCATGGCTGCTGGCAGCTGTTGCTCAGTGGGACACTCTCACACAGCAAAACGAGTGACCCAGCCCATGTAGGGGTCTCGCATGTCGACAAATGAGCAGTGGGGGTGGTCTGCAGAGGCTGCATTTATCTACCTGTACACACACACTACACACCTTCTGGTACACCTGACTAAGGACACCTTAGGGATGTCCAGTCCTTTCACAAATACTGCCCCTTGGGCCATCACGATCGCTGACAGCAGCTGGGAAGCTGCAGCATCACAAAAATAAAAATAGAATGCTGAGATGCGGAGAGATGCACACCAGCCTCTAGAGCCTTAATCTGCCCCCAGCCCTCCTCCTCAGTGGTAGTGGGACTAGAGGTGTCTGCTTCGACACATTTTGTGGGGACAGCAACCCCACAACTGTATGTGCCTTGTGGGGTGACATGGGTGACTTTTTTTTTTCCTTCTCCATGTGTTAACTAAATAACATTCCCATCATGGCAGATGGTGAGGAAGTCATCTGAAGCCGAGAAGAAACTGAAGGGGTTAAAGGCAAATCCGTGCCTCCTCCACTCAGTTAATTCCCCAGCAGCCTGATCCTGTGTTGAGATGATTCAGGCCAGAGAGAGAGACTGCCACTGTCCCCAAGGGAGACCCCAGAGAAAAGACTCGTATTTCCTGTTCAGGAGGATTAAGTACAAGGCCATTGACAAATCACAGTAAACATCTGGATGCGAGCACTCCATCTATCAAGCCCTAATCCACGAAGTTATTCATTAATGAATTCAGCAAATTCACGCTGGTCCATATATAGGGTCGGCTGATCTTTTTAAATGTTTGGCTTAGAGGTGTTTTACATCTATATCAACAGATTTTTTATTTATAATACAAAGAAATCTACTGTATTCTATTTTTGCTTGCTTAACTGTTTAGAGTAATTATTTTGCCTTTTTTAAAAAAACCAAACCACACACTGCTGTGTTTTCTGATAGTATATAAAAAAGTCCAATCATTAAAACCCAACCATGTTCCTGCATTTTATATTGTCTTGCAGTTTTAAGCCCAAGTTCCTCTGGAAACTTTCCATCACACAGTGATGGAAAAAACATTAAATAGTAATTGATTTTCTTTTCTGTATTTTGTTTTGATTAAAAAGAGAATCCCTCTCATTTATCTTCAGAGATAAAGTAAGCATTGAGTAAATGGTCTGGTTAATTCAAAAGTAATTTGATCAGAACATCCATAATTTACATTGACTTCAACAGCAGGAAAGATGCTGAGCACCACCAGACA